AGGGCAGCAGTACTCAAAGAGTGTCCACAGGCTACTCAAAATACAAAGACACTAAAGAAAAGACACTTCGCAAAATGGTATTTTTCCCACTTTACTGATTCAGGAAATGGTCAGGATCTCAGAGCTCCTCAGGAAGTAAGCAGTCTGAGAGGAAAGGATTAGAGCATCTGCTAAAATATTCAATCTCTTGCAAAACATACAGGATTAGTAGACAGAAAGCAAGAACTCATTTCCCAGTCCTACCCTGGCTGGCTTCACTACCTCCAACCTGGGTCTGCACAGGGCAGTTTCTTGACTACCTGAATTAAATGTATGAAAACTCCATTGACCTTGTCCACTCACAAAAACCCTTCCTCACACTAATTGATCAGGACAAGCAGATCCACCCTCCCTAAACAGGCAAATCAGAACTTTTGTTGGCTCTAACCTCTTTCAACATCCAGGTGGGATGCGATGCAAAGATTTCATATTCGCCAGGAAGCACTTTAAAGAAAGCAAACCTGCAAGGCAAGAAAGGGGTTATGTCTCTTCAGAAACAGTCACAAATGTTTGTTTACAGAAAAACAATTCAGACACACATTAGAAAAAGTATTTCAGAACTATTACAATCCCAGTTGCTGTGGCAGAATTGAAAGAATCTTGTGTAAATGAACAGATTAATTATGTACCACCCACACTCACTTTCCTCCAGGTTGTGTAATAGTTGCTTGTATGTTTATGTCACTGCCAGCATTTCTCAGTGCAACCTGAACTCCAGCAGGACCTAATGTCTGACCTTTGCTGAGAACCTGTCAAAATAAAAAGAAACAAGAGTATAAATGGAAAAAAATACCTCGTAGAGCTGAAGCAGAATGTTTTTTATGAAAGCTGAATTAGTGCAAGATGGAATAAATAAAGATAATGGAGTCTAACCTTTCCATTCACAGAAAACCCTGTGAACACGAAGTTAATATCACCTCCCTTTGTGCAAATGTCATTAATGCCATCCACATGAATGTCTACACTGGTTGGTTCTGGAACAGAAAAACGATGAAACAGCACGGTAGTTAGTGAGAAAGCAATCATGAAGAAATTCTGCTTTAGCTTTACAAAACTGTCACAGAAATGTATTAGTCCAAGCATGCAAGTGTTGCTCTGGGAGTCTTGCCCCAGCAAAGTTTAAACATCTCCAAATCCTGAGACTGAAAATCCTCTTTCCCCCCTCCCGCTGCAGCCATTTCTGTCAAAAACACACATTCCTTCAAATCAGTTCAAGGGTTATTTTGTCAGTGTCTACCATATAGCTCTATTTTCCCCAGTACAGTAAGTGCATTTCAGTTATTGAAAGCACACAGTATGGCTCATCTGTTTTGAAAAGCGCTTGATTTTCTCTGCCAACTGCAAGTCAGAGATAAGTCCCCCATTGCAGATACACTGTCCTATTGTAAGAAGACAAATAAGCACTTACCGAAACTCCACCCTAGGGGAGGCTCAATTTTAAGAATGAAATCCCCCTAAAAAATAAAAAGCAATAACTGTCTTCATTGATCTAAATTCAATTTAGCTAAATTATGAAAAAAAAAGTCATAACACAACCATCACGCTGCAGAGAGGAACACAAAACTCAAGTGTACCATTCTCCTTCCCTCTTACTTCAGATACTCTGTTCAAAGAAGCAGCAAAATCTACCCAGACAGGCCAGGATGCTGGGCTCACATCCAGCCAGCTAAGAGCAAAAATTAAGTATCACTGTGTTTATACCACTTCAAGAACAAACCTGGCTCACATTCAAGCAGCTCAGTGCTAGAAAGTGCTCAAATCTACCTCTACCTGCCCTAACAGATGGGTTCTAAATTAGCCTTTAGTATTTCCACTAGGAGATCCAACTCAACCATTCTGCCCAAACATGAGACAACAAAACTTCAATCCTATTAAAAGCTCTGCTCCAGAAGGGTATTAATCTGCACAGGGATCCTCTTTATAGTGGCCACCAAACGTGTTCTGCCACATATATTCTGAAGTTCAGAATGGAAAGGTTCAAAGGCCTAAGAATGAAACCACTGAGATCAGAAAGCATCTTACATTCTTAGACTGGGAAGGGAAGGAATTATTTGGAGGTTGAGCTAGATGATCCTTAAAGATCCCTTCCAAACCAAACCATTCTATGATTCTACTTCTGATCCCTATATTAACCAGCTCTTTAAAAGTGCAAACCACTTCGACCATCTGAGGGCAGTTTGTAATTAATTTGAATGTAAACATCTTTCCAGTCTAATACACTTTAGACTTCTGATTCATTCTGAGCTTCCTGTACCATTATTTCCTTAAGATATTTTTAATATCTGCAGTTAGTAATTCAAGTTATTTTCAATTCAGTCGTATCAAAACACCTTCTCATACACATCTCTTTCTATAGGCAGAAAACAGAAAGCTTTAGCTGTACTCTGTAGTAACCTGTACTATTTGTACAGCTGCAGCACACAGCTGTTGGCAGTAAATACGGCTCCCAGTGCTGCAGTCATTCCAATAAACAGCCCAAATGCAACACCACAGCTACAGCTACCAGGCTTTTCTCAGCATAACTAGCACTGAGAAATAAAGTAGCTGCCTTACAGAAAGAAACAGCTGAAAGTTTGGTCCAAACCACACTAAATCATGTCCTGATTCGAAGGTTTCACGGGAAGGGTGCTGTTGTGAGGTTTACCCTGGCGGTAGGTGGGGAGGCGGGGGCAGCACAGAGGGGACAGCGCAGGTGGTGCAGCGTCTTACCTTGTCATACAGGGGAATCATGAAATACCCGTTGTTCGGAGCACAGTCTGTCTGGTATTTCAGAGTACCGTGTTTTGTATATAACTTAATCTAAAAGAAGCAAACACAACAAGGGTGCTTTTAAACAAGGCTAGGAAGACTGGAACCACGCACTGTCTAACCAGGTGCTCTCACAGAGCAGCACCCGCCGTGCCCGGGGCAGCAGGACGAGGTTCACGGTGAGCCGGGCCCGGGGAAGGAGACCCGCAGTCCACCGCCCCAGCCCGCAGCACCGGCACCGTGCCGCGGCCCGGGCGGGAGCGCTCGGGGGGCCCGGGGCAGCCGGGGCCGGCGGCGCCCACCTCGATCAGCGAGTAGTTGATCTCCACGTCGGACTTGACGAAGCCGCCGCAGCCCACGACGATGTCCTCGGAGCCCGCGCCAGGGCGCAGCACAGCGCGCAGAGCAGCGCGGCCGCGGCCGCGGCCCCGCATGGCCCGAAGCTCGCCGGCGCCTCACGGGCACCGCCAGCCCCGGCCCTCCCGGCCCCCGCCCTGAGTCAGCGCCGCCGCCGCGCGGCCGGAAGGGCCGTTCCCGCGGGGGCGCCCCCTGCCGGCCCGGAGGGCTGCGGCCGCTCCCGGGGCTGCTCCCCAGGGATGCCCCGCTGGACATCCCCCAGCCCCATCCCACTGCCGGGGATGGCGTCAGGATGGATTATCTGTGCCCCAGGCTGAATCTTCGCACGTTTTGTAAACGTAACTGATGTCGTCAGGTAACTTCTGCGAAAGGAATTGGTGTCTTCGAGCTGAATTTTCTCGCGCTTTGTGAACACAGCTAAAGTCAGAACACTGCTGAAACAGAAGCTGCTTAATAAAGAACTTCGCGTTTCAAGCATTGCGCGAGATTACGTCACACGAATAAATATGTATTGCGTAGGCGGAGAATATTTATTAGGCGGGTTCGTGTAATGTAAATTTTACGGTATAAAAGATGTAATTTTTTTTTTACCGCTTGGCGCGCTTGATTTGCGGGAACCTCCACCCTGCGCAGAATAAACAACGTCTCTTCTCCAAACCAGACCCTGTGTGCTTACAGAGCTCCCACCCCCGGCAGCTCCGCCTCGCTGGTGCGGTCGCTGCCGGGCTGCACAGCCCCGGACCTGCCCCCGGCCGGACTTTGCCCGCAGCCGGGACGGACCGGGCGCTCCGGGGCTCCCGGCACCGCTCACACACCGGGAACGGGGCTCCGGGCGCTGCCCGGCGAGGAGGAAGCGCCCGTCCCGTCCCGTCCCGTCCGTCCGCGTCCCGTCCCGTCCCGTCCCGTCCCGTCCCGTCCCGCGCGGGCTGCGGGCGAGGGGCCGGCCGGGCCGATGGGTGCGGGCGATGCGCTGTGCGGGCCCGGGAGGCCCGCCGGGCCCCGGGTGAGTGACCGAGTGACCGCGGCCCTCCGCCGAGGACCCCCCCGGAGCCCGGCCCGGAGTGCGGCTCCCCGGGGGATTCCCGGACCCCGCTGCGGGGGGGTGAAGTGCGAGCGGTGAAGTGTGTTCCCGTGGGTGCGGGCTTTGCTTCCCAGGAACAAGTTTTCACCCAAACAGAAGAGCCCGAGTTGTTCTCAGTTACAGTGAATTTGATGAGTTGCATGTACTGCGCTGTTGGAAGGATGTTGGAATGAGTCTTGTCTTTGGGAAGCTTCCGCTGAAGGACCCACCACAGAAATACCTTTAAAAGGGCTCTAACTTTATCAGTCCGGGCTCTCACAGATTTCCATCCCCAAGACTGATAAACTCCCATAATAATTTGTAAGCCATTATCTGTTTCCTCTTTTCATCACGGTGATTCCTCAGCCTTGCTCTGCAAGCTGAAGGAAAAAATAACCTTGCCTGTTTATGTACAGTTGCCAGATGAGATCCAATATTTGTTCAGTCAAAAAGTCACAAAAGGTTAGTACAAACAGCTGAGGAAATGCAGTTCATGCACTAGGACACTTTTTCCCTCCTAATCTCCATTTCATTGGTCATTTGCTGTTGTTTGTTATGATGGTTCCCAAATGCTGATCATCTGTTTAATTCCCAAATTACCTTTTCTCATTCCATTTTCATTAACTTACCTTTCTTTTCTTTTCTGTCTAGTTGTGATACATGTCCTTTCTTCGGCATCTTTCACTTTTGCAATCTTTTTTTCGTCCTGCCTTTCTACTTCAATTCCCTCCAAACTGCTATAGCTGAGTTCATCTCTGTTGCCAAATGTTTTTTACATTTGAAACCCTAAATCAAATTCCACTAACGTAGTAGATCTCAGCTGTAGCATTAGGAACCTGCATTAGCTGTGAAATTCTGTGTACATTTGCTTTACTGTTTCACTTCTGTGTTATTTCTGTGACAGGACTGGAATCAGACATGGCATTCAAACACCTCAGGATTTACCTGGTGCTTTGAGAGCTCAGTCATCACCTGGATCCCTTGTGCCTATCTTTGGATCTGTTTTCCTTTCTACTACCTGTACCTTCGACACAGGAACAGGGGCTATATCAGGATGTCCCGCATCTTCAAAACCAAAATGGTCCTTGGATGCATTCTGGTGATACTGTGTTTTACTAATGTTTTCTTCATGCTGTGGGAGATAAGCCAAGGAATCCCACGGGCTCCAGAGTTCTTCATCAGCCCTGCTGTGCTGGGAATCACAACGGTAATTCCTCCCTTGTCTGTCTGCACGTGGCCAAGCTAAGCCCTCTGGGGACAGATCTTGTATTTCCCACGTTTCTCAGTATCTCTGAGCACAAATTTGGCTGATGGGGAATAGAAGGCCCACAAGCCATGGCTTTGGAGTCGGGGCAGACCACTGGAGCTACACCTACAATACAGGGCCCTGTGGGCAGAGCAGACCTTGCCTGTTGGCCCACTTGTAGTTTTATTATTTGCCCTTTCTCCAGAGACATTCTTGAGTGCAAAATTGCACATAATGCTGTTCAGTTTTAGCCTTTTAGGAACAATACTACAGCTACTACAGCTCTGAACATCTTGAAGTGTTTGGACAAGAAACTGATCTTTTTTCTGTGGTACTCATTATTTTGATAACAATGTTTGGCATTCCATTACCAGGTATTTATGTGGACAAATTTGTACCTCCTCACAGATCCTTGCCATGTTCCTTACCCAGGCAGAAAGAATGATGGGCATCCAGTCTTCAGGGGTCCTGTTGATTTATTGGCTGCTCTCATTCGTGGCTGCAGTTGTGATGTTTACTTTCAAAATTCAACATGCCCTGGAAAGAGTAAGTGAAATCACATATTTTCAATGTGCAAGGGTGTGAAGTCTCTAAACAGCAGAGCTGGTTTTGTCTCATTGTTGCAAGGGGGAGAACAAAATTCCTCTCTTAAAAATATGTGCTGACAAAAATGATTGCTGATACTATATATTTGTTCATTTGGATGTTTATTTGCAGCAGAGTGCTTGCTGGCACATCTGAGACTTATTGTTAGTGGCCATTTTCCTCAGATGAACAGACTTCTTTGCAGTCACAACTAGGAATAAACAAAAGTTTGTTACCTGTGTGTTTTAAGTAATAGGGGAAAAATATGCAGCCATGAAGCAAAATACAGCTGGGACCTTGCTTGTTCCTGCTGTGTTGAAGGCACAAGGCTGCTTGTTGATGTAACACTTGGCAACTTCTTGCTACCAATACACTGTTCCAAAAATATTTAGACTTCTCCATTGTTTTTTTCTCTTTCTCATTCACAAAATGAATTAAAGAGCTCTTCATGGAGCCCCTTAGACACAACATTTATAGTAAAACTTATCAAGTGCTTTTTTATATCATCAACTCACCCCACTGGGTGAGCGAGGAGCTTCTATCCCTCAGAGCATTCAAAGTTCCCTGAAAAACGATGGAATGTGGACATCTGACTTGACTGGAGTACTATGAATCCTCACAATAAAACTGTCACTACGAATAATAAATGTGTCTTATTTAGCATTTTCTGAGCTTCCAGTTTCAGGAGTTATCTATTTAGCTCTACACAACTACAGCTTAAATAAATGCACCCCATGCTTCAAACCAAAACCCCGAGCTTATGGCTGGTAGAACATGAGAAGCCATCTTTCTCTGCTGATTTAACATGATGGTTCATTTCCTTATTCTCACCAGTATTCTGTTTCTTAGGCCTTCCTGGAAGACCATTTCCACCATGTTACAGCTTTCCTTTATGCCAATCTGGTGCTAGGAGAAGTTGTGTTATTCTGCTTAGCTGATCACCCCCCCTTCTTCTCTAAAGATGTCAACAATCCTGTAAGTATAACATAGCTTTTCCTAATGCACTGCTTCATTGCTGAAACAGGATTTTAAATTTATGGGCATACACAGGAACACAAGTATCTGGGTGATGTCAGATGCATCATTCTGTATAAAGGCTGATGGTTTTAAAAGGTAACTGGCAGAATTTGAGATAACAGTACTCTATCTCTCTATGTATGTTTTTCAAAACTACAAACCTTTTATCCATACTCATGTTTCTTGTCATTGAAACCAGCAGACAGGGCTCCTATTGCTTCCCCTGTTGCTGCTCTCCTGTGCAGCAGCACTTGGTGGTATGGGTATGACAAATTTCTGTGCTTAAGAAAATAAACGTCTCTGGGTATGAAGAATTATGTTCTTTTTTTCTTCTATCTGAGAAGTTATTCGAAGTCAAATTCTCCAAAATCTCCCAATCCCATTGATCCTCCACAATACACTTGCTCTGTCTGGGTCAGTGAATTGAGGGGTGGGGGTATGTCTTTGATTGCTTTTCCTGGGGGAGCACAGAAGGGAATTATATTCATCTGACACGTGCACTTTTCTGTATATAAATATCACACGTTTTCTCTCCCATCAGAATCACTGTCCAGAAGCCAGAAGCTCTTTTCTTTCCAAAATCACATACTGGTGGTTCTCTGGGTAAGAAAACACAGAAGATGTGGTTTTGCTAGAATATCAGAAAAACCCCAGCAGCATAAGAGACGGAATAGAGGCAGCCAGCAGGAAATATCTCAGCCCCTGAGTCAGCTTATGGAGTGAGGATTTAAATTCTTTCTCCAGGGGTTTGAGGTATTGTCACAAGGTCAAATTATAAAAAATTCACTTACTTTTCTCAAAATAATTCAAAACATAAATTTGTGATTCTAGATAATTCTCTTCTACCTCCTAACTACCCTTCCAGTGCCCTCCCAATCATGAAATAGATCTCAGCAGTCCCAAAAGATCACTGCACACCAACCACAACCCTATCTGCCTGCCAGACCTTCCTGTAACAAATGCTGGGCAAGGGAAAAACAGTGAAGAGGATATAGGCCCAGTCTGCTGCTGAGCATCCAGAAGTAAAACAATTACATTCCTTGGGCCTAATGTCTGCTATGATACGGTCTCATCTGGTTTCACTGAACCCAGACTAAGTTACACTAAACTTCAGTCCCACTGCCCAAGACTCTCATTATGGACTAGAAATTAGGGCTTATTTGCAAATCTTCATTATGTTGACAGAGGACAGCATAGGAATTTAAAGCAAAACTGCTGTTCCTGAACATTCATGTTTATTCTGGGACAGGACAGTCTTGAGTAGTGTTGTAATGCAAGTTAGTCCCCACGTGCTCACTGTGGTGTACTAACTTAATGTCCCTCTGTTTTGAAAGTGTTACATGCACCACAAAACCTTCTGCATTCACCTGATTGCAGTCTATGTGTTCTCCAGGCTTCTCTGGAAAGGCTCTCAGCAGTCCTTGGGGGTGGATGACTTGTGGCCAGTGAGGAGAGAGGACTCCTCTGAAGAAATTGTCGCCTGGGCAGAAAGAGAGTGGAAGAAGTGTCACAGCAGAATCCAGCAGTGAGTACTTGATCTAGAGAGCACATCATGGGCTCAGCTGGGCAGGTCTAGGTGATCTAGCAAATACACTCCCAGGTGCTGGTGTGTGAGTTCCTTTGTGCAAAATCTGATTTTAAGTGTTAAAAACTGCTGGAGAACATCCCTGGAAGCACAGAACTAATTTCTTTGTGAGAGGGGTCACTTTTTGATGAGCATTTATACTGAACATGGTATGAGACCTGGTGTAAGATATTTAATGATTTTTTGGAAGCACAAGATTCTCAAGCTTTCTACAATTGTAGCTAGCTTTCTCATTGTTACTTTCTTCAGAGAAGGGGAGTCTGCTACATTTAAAAAGGGTCAGAAGACTGAAGCTGGCATAGCAGAAGCTGAAGAGACAGAGGCTCTCCTGCAATCACAGCACAGTGAGAGCAGGCCCTTACTGAAAATGTTTTGGAGTATGTTTGGAACCTATTTCCTCCTCAGCACTATCTGCTTAGTTATCTGTGATGTCTTCATGTTCTCCATCCCAAAGTTACTGAGGTATGTGCATATTTATAATATGTACAAGATTGCTGTGTTCACGAGCTCAGAGGTGTGTATGTGAGCACTCACAGAGGTGGGCATGCACACACTTGCCTTTTGAAATCTCTTGTAGCTGATGAAAAGAGCTGAATTGTCATTTGAGCTTAGCCCACTGTCAACTCAGGAGGAGAAGTCACCAAACCACTGTCTCCACCGCTGTATTCCAACAGTGGAAAGGACAGGATGCACTAAACCATGTGACAACTTTACTAGAACAGGAGTTATTTGTTGGTTCTATGTATCACGTCATTTGCACAAGGCTGTCAGCCCCTTGCTGTAGTCTGAAGGCTCTGTGTTCCCTGACTAATTACAAAGAGCACAGCTGTGCATCCTACACATCTTAAGAAGCTTTGTTGGTCAGTTGGCATAATGCTTTGTGGATTGTATTGGTACAATATAAACCTTCATTATGGTATATTTTCAAGTGCAAAATCCCTTCTTAATCATTACAACTAAGAGAAGTTCTGGAAATGTCAATGACTTCCTTAGATTACAGCTACCACTTTGCATATTTCTGACAAATTCATAAAATTCAGGAGCCATCCATAAGACTGAAAGTGAGCTCTCCCCTGAGAAGATGCTGAGATCAGAGGTTGTTACAAAACCAAGAGTGGCTACATGTCAAAAATCAGGATATTATATGATCTAGGTTACTCAGCAGGTTTTTTTCCAGTTCTTCTGCTATTTTACTGATAAACCTCTCAGACAGAATACAGAAAAATCACTGCTATTTCTGCCAGTTTGTTTTTATGTGTCTGATATTTCATCAGTCCTTCGTGGATTCAGCAACATTTTGCCCCTGTCTTGCAGCCTTTTCCTGAAGTTCATTGAAGATCCAGAAGCCCCCAGCTGGCTTGGCTATTTCTATGCCTTCACTATGTTCCTTTTGGCTTGTCTCCAGACTCTGTTTGAGCAATGCTACATGTACATGTGTCTTGTTCTGGGGCTGAGACTGAAAACTGCAGTAACAGGGCTTGTGTACAGGAAGGTGAGTCTGTAGCTTCCTTTTTAGTTTCCTTTTTTTTTTTCCTAGCCCTACATTAGTAGTTACACCATTGTTGGTACAATGTTTCTAGCAATATCAGGATGTCACTCTGTGCTATTCATCTCTGAACAGTATATGGGAGGTACTTTATAATTTACTTTTCAGATCTTACCTCTGAAGAAAAAGCCAAGAAAAGGAAAGAGCAAAATTCAACATAAAGTTTCTTATGCTGTAGATGATGGTTAGGGAAAACAGTAAATGCTTCATCCTAAAGTGATGTCACATGCAGCAGCATGGTTTCAACACCTAGGATTTGACATCTTCCTCCCTTTATTTGTTTTCTTTCTTTATGAGGACAAGAAAGTTGTTTGACTTCTTGACCAAAGCTGTTGTTTGATGATGTTTCTTTCCTCTCTACCCTATCTAGATCCTACTTATGTCAAATGCCTCAAGGAAAGCAGCAACCATAGGTGAAATTGTTAATCTGGTATCTGTTGATGTCCAAAAGCTAATGGATCTGATTATCTATTTTAATGGGACCTGGCTTGCTCCTATTAGGATTATCATCTGCTTTGTCTTCTTGTGGCAGGTAAAATATGACAGTATTTATCAATCCCTTTCTATTCTACATATCCAAGAAAAAAGGGGGTTTCAAAATTCTACTCAGAGCTTTCCTGGTTGCAATAACCTGAAGTTGCCATATTGCTCTGTAGCATGGTGCATTCACTTTTCTTTCTGGAAGGTGTTTTTTTAACCAAAACTTGGTATTGTTTCGGATCACTTACTTAAGCCAGCCACAAGATGTCCTCGTTAACGCATCCAAGGACACGGGAGGAAACAGGAATGGCTGGAATTGCCAGCGTGCTGCTGGATCACTTTCAGCACTAATCTAGTTCCTAACAAGGAAGCAAATAAATTCAGCGGAGCCTGATGACAGGAGTTCCCCTGCCTGGATGGTTAACAATCCACAGCGCTTAGGGAAGCACAATTCCCAGGAAAGGCAAAGGCAAGATTAGAGCAAAGCCTTGACCATGAGGGATGTTATGCATAAGTTCAAGTAAGAGGGAAGGTAAGCAAGGGAACAGAAAACAGTAATTTCTAGTCATCACCAGAAATTCTTTCTCTTTCATTTTCTCACCTGGCAGCTTCTAGGGCCATCTGCCTTGACTGCAATTGCTGTATTCCTTTTTCTTCTGCCTCTGAATTTCGTGATCACCAAGAAGAGGAGTCAGTTTCAGGTACATTTTGCTTCATAAAGAGAGAAATTGTTTACTGACATATGTGATGGCTTAATATTTATTAGTCATGCTTACCATGATTGTCTGAAGGAACATAGGAGGATTTGAAGCCTGCAAAGCTTCTTAGAATTTAGACTAAGCTCTTGCATGTTCAATCTTTTACCATGTTTGCCCACCTTTTCTGTGTTTTTTATGTACTGCCAGTAAAAATAAAGCTCTGAAGATAAAAAGCAGAATATTTCCCAGCCTGGAAGATTCCTAAGCAAAATAGTACACACAGCTCAACTACAGGGAAATTTATTCAGGACTTAGATGCAGGAATAAGGTATATTTTCAGAATAATTGCACCATTAAACTATCAACCTATTAAACGATATAACACGAACATTTATTACAGGAGACCCAGATGAAACATAAAGATGAGCGGGCCAAACTCACCAATGCCATTCTCAGTGACATTAAAGTAATCAAACTGTATGGCTGGGAGAACACCTTCATGGAGAAAGTGCTTGGGATCCGGAAGCAAGAACTTCAGGCCCTAAAAAGATCTCAGATTCTCTTCTCAGCATCCCTAGTTTCTTTCCATTCATCAACTTTCCTGGTGAGTGGATCACCTTCCTGCATAAACCATGTGCTCTTACTTCCATTTCTCTTTGTACAGGTCCTCCCTGGACAGATTTTCCTTTGGGAAAAGCTTCTCCTGTGGGATAAACTAAAGATTATTTCTGCCTGGAGGAGTTGGCAGTCTCACAGGAGTTGCTCAGCCCCAGTGGAATGAGCCATGCAGACATTTACACTGTCCTAACAGTTCCATGGACAGGTGATCTGGTCTGGCACTGTGCTCCAGGCAGCCCGAGCCTGCTTTGCAGGATCCACTGGGAGACCTCCAAGCCAGACAGAGTTCATGGCACAAGCCACATTTGCACTTGCTGTTGCAGCTCAGCTATGTGTGTTTTCAGTGGGAACCTGCTCTGCTTTCACCTTGCTGAGGCTGCAGCATGAAAACTTCCTTAATGTAAAACAAATGTCAAATGATCAACTTGATACTGTCACCAATATGCAAGACCTTTGGCCATGATCCCTGCAGAATGGGTACTGTGCACAGAGGTGGTAGCCTGGATTTAACTAAACGGGTTCCAGAGTCTTTAGGAAGGGGCCTGTCACCCCTGAACCGTTCTCTTTCCTGTCTGAAGCAAATGGTTTGCTTTCCCTTTGCTCCCTTTCAGATTGCATTTGTCATGTTTGCTGTCTACACCCTGGTGGATAACACACACATCCTGGATGCTCAGAAGGCCTTTGTGTCTTTAACACTGATCAACATCCTCAACACTGCACACTCCTTCCTGCCCTTCTCCATCAACGCTGCTGTCCAGGTTAATTGCAGACTGTGTTCCTTTTCCTTTGGCTATAAGGGGTTTTTTACATATCACCATTAACAGTAAACAGAGAGATTCCTTAGGGCTTTGCACATCAGCCATTTAATTGCTATTCTGAAACAGTGAAATGCAAGCACTTGCAAGTAAACTTTGTCGTATTGTTTTTCAGAAAGACTCCTTTCACTGACAAAACAGTCAAAAAGAATTATTCATAAGTCTTTTGGAGCTCATCACAAGCACCAATAGACCCCAGAGGTGCTTCCAGTCCTGTTTTTAATTGCACAAATCAGAACAGATGGAGCAAAATCTCCATAGGGGATCAGTGGAAACCCTGCTAGTCCAGGCCAGAGAGAAAAGCAAATCATTGCCCAGTAAGATATAAGGAAATTCATTTCCCTCTTACATTTTAAGGCTGTCACAGCTTTTCATGTACAGAAAGCAATCACTGGGAAATTGCAGGATGAAGTGGAGAAAAAAGCACCCATTCCACTGAACCAAAAGCACCATGAAGGATATGGGGTTTTTTGCTAAACTAAGTGGAAATAAAAGCAGTTAACATAAGGAAGAGCTGCATTTGGCCAGCTAAGTCTACAGCACCTGCAACATAGCAGATGATCTAAGTGTTCTTCACGTTGAGTCTTTGGGTTTTTGTTCCCTTTCTTCTCTAAATCCTATTTTCTTTTGTGTGCTGCTTCATTTCAGGCCAAAGTTTCTTTAAACCGCTTGGCAGCTTTTCTGAATCTGGGACAACTGAATCCTGAGAGCTCATGCAGAAGCACTTCAGGCTGTGGTGAGCTTTTATGTTAGCACTGTTACCTTAAAAGAGGAGTAACTTCTATTGTTCAGCTTCTACTCAGGGTGCTTACCATAGTCAACAGAAAAATATTTGCCCCTTACTGTCACTGTATCTCTCAGGCCTATTTATTTCTACCAATAAAAACTAATCTGGTAATGTATGTCTTTTTTCATACTTATGGTTCATTTTATGTAATATACACACTGAAACATAAAATCATATAAATAGGGATGTTTCTGTAGCACCTTTTGCATTTACAGGTATTGTATTTCTCTTCATATTTTAGCACAGGCAAGTATCACCATAAGAAATGGGACTTTTTGCTGGAGCAAAGAAATTTCTCCTTGTCTTAGAAGGTACAGACTTACTCTTAGTCATCTCTCAGCTCTGTAGGGCCAGTGTGGAATGTCCAGAGGCTTCTGAGTTCACTTCATATTTAATGTTGAATTCTGAAAATTACAAAGTCAGACAAAACATAATCTTGGTCTTCTGTTTGGGAGCAGATAAATGGGAAGGTGCCTGTATCTGGATGTTGCCTTAATCTATGGAGGCTGTTTTCTTTACACAATTTTCTTGTTCAAATACGAAATTACAGTAATTTAAATCAAAAAAGTAGAACAGATGGTATGCAGGTATTATATATGGCATCACTAGATGCTTATTTCAACAGGCATTGACATTTTTGAGAAGAAACTATGTTGAACAGCACTGATGTTCAGGAATTTTTTATATCCAATGCTTTGGGCTAGCTTATCTCCAGAGTGGGGAGCTGGGTCTTGGATCTGGGTTTGAAACTCAGAGGGGGATGTGGATCAGACTTTCTGGTTGGAGGTGTCTTTGAAGGGATGAAATTAGGGTGGTTTACTTGGGTACATTTTTATTGCTACAAGACAATAAAAAGAATTTTGATAATTTCATCTTCAGAAAGTGTACCTAAAACATGATAAGAAACTAATCTTTTCTCCATAGGATAGATCTTACCGTGCCCCAAGGCTCTTTGCTTGCTGTAGTTGGCCAGGTGGGTGCTGGGAAGTCCTCCTTGCTGTCAGCATTGCTCGGTGAGCTGGAGAAACTGGACGGCTCCGTGACCATGAAGGTAAATTTTCCCCTGAGCATTTGCTTCTAATTAGGCTGTTTTCAGGAACTGTAAGGTATTAACCAAGGCATCAGGTACTTGATAACAATGTATTTACTGCTGAATTTTAACAAAGGCTGTATGTATCAGTCCACATTTAATTATCTGAAGGTGCTGAAGACTTTGGAAATAGGAGCTGAAACACTGCTTCAAAGATCCAGTTCTATTTCCCACTCTGACAGTGAGCTGAAATGTCATCCTGGTAAATCTCATCATGTACTTGCACCTCTGTGTCCTCCTCTGTCAGATAACAACAGTGCAGACTCATATTTTGCAAAGCCCTCTGAGACCTATCAATGGTGATGATCATTCCAGACTTCTATAACTCAGAGAGCTTTTCTGCAAAGATGAGTTCCCATAGTGTCAAGTTGAGCTTATGGAAAAGATTACTAACATTGTTCCACTTCTATAGGACACTGCAGCTTATGTCCCCCAGCAAGCTTGGGTACTAAATGCTACAGTGGAAGATAATATTCTTTTCGGGAAAGACATGGATGAACCATGGTTCAATAGAGTGATAGATGCCTGTGCACTGCACCCTGATTTGGAGAGCTTCCCTGCAGGGCAGAAGAGTGAAATAGGAGAAAAGGTACTTATACTTAGGTTTATATTTTGGTCAACTTTTCTTTGAGTAGCTACAACTTCAGGTGTCCTGCTTAAAACACCTACAAAGAAATTAAACTTGCAGAAGGGCAGGTGCTCAGTGATTTCTGGAAAGTTGGGCCATGACCTAATTTAATTTAAGCCCACCTCCTGACAGTTAACCTCACCAGAGATATGAGAGTTGTTAAAGACAAAACTCAACAAATCCAGGCCATTCTGAGGTGCTCTTTTACAGGAGAGAGGAGTTGCTCAGGAGACTCTGCCTCTGCAAGAGCCCTATTTGGAGGGAGGGAGATGCACTGGTTTAAAAATAAGGGAGTCATAAAACCTCAGCGCAAAATGGAGTCAACAGCTGACAAATATGCTGTAGCTGTGGAATAAACAGAGTCAATACATTTTTACAGGGAATAAATCTGTCTGGAGGGCAGAAGCAAAGAGTGAACCTTGCTCGTGCCGTGTACCAGAAGGCTTCAATTTACCTGCTCGATGACCCCCTCTCAGCTGTTGATGCCCACGTCAGACAGCACATTTTTGAACACGTTCTTGGACCCAATGGTTTACTGAAGGACAAGGTGTGTTATAAATCCTGAACTCTAAACAATTGCACAATGAATCTCATTAGCAGAGCCCCTGAAATGTTTCCAGTAAGGTGGGTTACTCACTTTATCAAAGGCTCCCAGACTCTTTTTTGGTAGTGGCAGCAGTGGAATGGGTAACCTCTGCAGGCCACACAGCACCTGCAAGTCCTGCAGGGAACCTCACCGAGGAAGAGTAAGACTGTCTTTATCCTCATGCAAACCACATGCCTAGTTCCAGCCTTACTTCTACAGCAACTTTACTGTTCTTTGGTCTTCTGTCAACATTATCCTTCTCTCTTTTCGAGAACTGCTTCTAGCATAGTTAGGAAGAGCTGTCTGATCTCTTCTAGCAAATTGTATCATCATAACATCTAATCCCATCACTTTTGAATAGTTCAGTGGCACCTTTACAGTTCTTATCACTTAAACTTCAGTCTTAAAATCCACCTTAAACACTTCTCTTCCATTCCTTTTGCAGTGGTGGTGTTTTGTTCTTCCTTGGTATTTCTCTGCTGTCGATTAATCTGGATAATAGATGCAGATACATGAGAAGGGATGCTAGAGCAGCTCTACTTAATTCATGGTATAAATTGCCTAGAAATACTTGATTCAGTTTCACATTATAGAGGGAACACAGGTAATCTCTTGCATTAGAAAGTCCAGTTATAACAGACATGCCTGACTATAAATACCTTTGCCTCCACGAGGATTGGTTGCAAGTATCAGAATACAATTATTGGATTGAAACAGAATGACTGGCTAAGAAGAATGTATCAAACTTAAGGAGTACTCAAGGGGCTTGATTTTATATTAGAAATACAGAACATGCCAACTTATGTAAGGGGAAATTACTTTTCTTATGTCCTCTCCTACAGCAAATACACTCAGAAATGTAAATGGAAAGGAGCTGCACTTTCATTCCCTTCGGGCTGATCAATTTTTCAGCCATGAATTTGATTCTGAAATACTGATATCAGTGGCAATAAATGTGGCATACTCTGCAATTAACATCTTCCTACTTAAGACCTTCAACCAGAGGGGAATCAATAACATGGAATTGGTCAGTGAGTCAAGTAAAAGGTCCTCCAGCACACAGGGTGCCAGCCTGGGACTTCAGGCTTCAGTTCCCATCCTCACTCTTAACGCTGTGCACGACACAAAGCGAGTTGATTCACCCCTCCACTCCCAAGTCCTGCAAGATAGACTTCCTCAGAGAGACAGAAGTGATAGGAATAAATAACAAAAATATCTCCAAGTTAGTAAAAATCATAGCTTGCACTGAGTACGTGTGTGTCTTCAGAAGCCAGCTGAGTGCAACAGCTCAAGTTAGCAGGGAAACAGCAGAAAATATGTAACTGTTCCCTCTTGATTCAAGCAGACTCGTGTGCTGGTGACTCACACAATCAACATTTTGCCTCAAGTGGACAACATTGTTTTTCTGGTGGATGGAATGATCTCAGAAACTGGTTCCTACCAAGAACTTCTACAGAGAAATGGGGCCTTTGCAGAATTTCTTCATTCACATGTTACTGCAGAAGAGAAGGCATGTGCTGGTTTTCCAGGTAACCCAAATGAGTTGGAATCATTCTTCCTAGGTCTATCAGTCAATTGTTTCCTTAATATCACATTTGTTTTATTACGGAAATATGCCTGTCAAATTAGCTGATTCATCACCTCAGAACTGGTCCTTGAATCCATCTGAGTAGACAACACTCATGCAGTAAACAGAATTACCCACTATATGTGCTATTTTTCAAGTCTAACCTTGATATTTCTACCCTTCAAAATCTTTCCTCCATATTACCAAGCTTTCAAGGACTATGCAGGACAAAATGGGATTCTAAACCATTTAGAAAAAAATGTATTTCTTTCACAGCTATAGGAGACACCAAAGGCACCATCACATCTAGAAATGGTCCATCTCAGGAGAAACTCTCTAGGTAAGCTTAAAGCAGTCTCAGATACTGAAGAACTTATTCCAAAAGTCCATACAAGCGTACTTGGAGGCTCTTACTGAGTATAATAAAGGTTTGGAGTTGATCTGTAAATTAATAACAAGAGCACACAAGCAAAACTCAAGAACTGGTAAGAACCTGGTCTTCAGTGTGGAGGTCAACTAACACTTTCTCCATATTTCACAAGGACCAGAACAGAGCTCACATACAAGGCACGTTGATACAGTTGTTTGCTGTTCAGTTCCCAGTGGGTCTGTAAGGTCAGGCTCACTCCAACCCAGCCACAGCAAGTGAATGCTTTAAGCCTTTGCTTGTTAATGGCTTGACAGAGCCCAGGCCCTGTGACAAACATGGACAATGATTGGGGTCACTCTGGAGGACTCCAAAAACTGCAGCCCTCAAAACAGGCATGAATATAGGGGTGGGTAAAGAGATCCAGCTTGGCTAAAAATTGAAAGGAATTTTGTTTTCTTAATGAAGTGGCAATTCAGTCAAATCATCTGCTGTGAGAAGGGAGACCATTCCTGTAAGTCAAGACTGTACCAGTGCTGCAGCCACCAAAGGAAGATTAACTAAGGGAGAGAAAACTCAGCATGGCAGGGTAAGCACAGCACCTTCCTGTAATGGCAAGGACACATCCCCTGGGGTTATCACACTCATGGCAGGCTGGTCAGCTCCCTGCCTAAGCTAACAAACACCTCAAAGGCTGAGGCAAGGAGGGTACTGTGAAAGGAAAGAAGCAGACATGGTATTCCAGTTAGGAAGAATCAGACATGGATGAGGGGTGTGTTCAGGGCACATTGTGGCAGTAGTAAAATGTGGAGAGGAAAAAAATAGCTGAGGCTAGTGGTACTGAGAGCAGATGAGACTAAGAAGACAGACACTCCAAAAGAGGCAGCTTTTCCTCTAGGGAAGCACAGCATTAGCCAGACTGGGATGTCCTCACCTCTCCTGATCAGCAGTTACTCGTACAAGCAGTCAGTGTGATACATGACAGTTCTCCCTCACTCACAGAACACACTGCCCAACATAAGGAAAGCCCACTCTCTGCATTCCAGAAGTAGCACAAGCCTATTGCAATAACATCCATCACTTGAAAATAATCATTAACACCATGGATTTATTTAAGTATGGCTTCACTATTCATCTATGAGGAAAACAAAAAAAGGATTAACATGGTTGCTATGGCTGTGACATATAACCGAGTAGATATGCCATAATAAATCATTCCTTATTTCAGAGCTGCTTTTTCTTGCTAACAAGCTTGATCCTCCCAACCTCTCCTCCTGTCTTTCCCCAATTGTACCTCACTCTAGGTCAATGCTGGGGTTTATGCAGCCTACCTGAAGGCGACAGGCTCAGCCCTGTGTGTGTTCATCCTCCTGTCCTTCACCTGCCAGCAAGCTGTGTCGTTCTCTCGGGGTTACTGGCTCAGCATGTGGGCAGATGACCCTGTTCACAACGGGACACAACAGCACACGGAGCTGAGAGTTGGAGTCTTTGGTGCATTAGGAGTAGTTCAAGGTCTGTTTAAGTTGCTCACCTAATTCTTCTCTGTATTCCCATCTCCCTTCCCCATATCCAGGATGTTTTCTCAGAATATAAACAAGTGCATACCCACGGGTTTTCAGCCTTCTGGGCTTTTGGCACCAACCCTAAAGGTTTGGCACGGGACCTAAAACTACAGGTTCTGACGCACAGAGAGGATTTCTAAGGGATCTGAACAATATTTTCAGTGTTACTGCCTGAAATTCTACTTCATGGTATGCTAGAGGTGTTCTGTGCCTTTCAGCAGACCATGAAGAATAGTGTCTTCCTCTGTATTTCCTGCTAGAACTAAATGACCTGAGCCCCTAAAAAACATGCAG